GTGTTTAACCACCCTCATAGTAAAGATGTGTTATCTCAAATTCAGATGGATCCAGTTTCAATTGTCCTGTCACTGGATACCACTGAGAATTTATCATCATCATCTTTATACTCTGCCATCGGATGTTTTACACATTGATCAGATCTCCTCGGAGCCTTCCCTTCTCCTGGATGAAGGATCCCAGCTCTCTCAGACTCTCTTCATATGACAGGTCCTCCAATTCCTTAATCACCTTCATGGACTTTCACTGGACTTGCTCTAGTAAGTCCATACCTTTCTTGTACTGAGGAGCCAAGAACTGGCACAGTACTCCAGCTGTGTATCTCACCAGTGCAGAGTAGAGGGGAAGGATCAGCTCCTTTGACCTGCTGTCAACGCACTTCCTACAGAAGCACTCGCTGCTGTGGCCCCAAAAGCACACTGCTGGCCATGTTCAATTTGGTGTCCACCAGGACCCCCAAGTCCTTCTGTGCAAAGCTGTTTTCCAGCCGGTCGTCCCCCAGCATGTACTGGTGCATGGAGTTATTCTTCCCTAGGTGCAGGAGTTCGCATTTCCTCTTGTTGAACTTCACAAAGTTCCTGTCTGCTCATTTCTGCAGCATGTCAAGGGCCCCCTGAAGAGCAATCTTGTTATCAGCTACTCCTCTCAGTTCTTTATCGTCTGAGAATTTGCTGAAGGTATGTTCAGTTCCATCATCAGAGTCCTTAATGAAGAGGTTAAACAGTATTGGCTCCAGGATCAACCCTTAGGGTACACCACTAGTGACTGGCCTCCAGCTGGACTTTTTGTTGTTGATCACAATCCTCCAAGTCCAGCAGTTCAGACAGTTTTCAACATACTGCACTGCTCGCTTATTTAGCCTGCAATTCATCAGTTAGTCTATAAAGGTGTTATGGGAGACACTCGCTACTCATACATCAAGCCAGTCATCTCATCATAGAAGACCATCAGGCAGGTTAAGCACAAATTACCCTTCGTAAATCCATGCTCTCTACTACCAGTCACCCCTTTTTGTCTTTCTCATGTCTGGAAATGGTTTCCAGAGCTATTTGTTCCATTGCCTTCCCAGGGATCAAGGTGAGGTTCACTTAGCCTGTAGTTCCCTGGATCCTCCTTCTTGCCCTTCTTGATGACAGGAGTGATATGTGCTTTCCTCCAGGCTCAGAAACTTCTCCCAGTCACCATGACCTTTCAAAGATAATCGAGCGTGGTCTCACAGTGATATCAGCCAGCTCCTTCAGCACTTGTGACTGCATCCCATCAGGTCCCAACTGCAATTCACAGTCATTTCAAAACTCATTTTTGAGTCATTTCCCTAACTCATTCATGAGCCCACTGAACAGCACTGAACCCTGCAGAACATGACTGTGACCTTCCTCCATTAAAGAGTGCTGACCAGCTATTCCTACTTTGTTCCCTCAACCATTTATCCATCCACATAGGACCTTCCCCCATGTTACTGGCTTCTTAACTTCCTTCAAGTCTCTGTAGTATGGGGGGAGCTTGGGTGGTCTGAGGTCAATCTCTATGATTTGAAGGAGGAGAGGGAAAAGATAGACATCGGAGACTTCTCGACCCATAGACTTCTTGAATACTAGCATTTTCTTTTGAGGACTTAGAAAAGGTTTTCTGTGTTGTTGAAATTTACAGTCTCAGATATTGAATATCAAAACCTTCAGTCCAAATGGTTAAATACTTGCTGAAGTCAGAGAAAGAGAACAGTGTTATAATAGGTATCCTAAGTATCCTAATGTTAGACAATGTCACAAGCAACTGAATGAGCTGAATTTAAAGTGTCAACAGAAAGAACTAGCATTTAACACGGATATGAAGAAAAGGCTTATCTGCAGGAACAACTTATAAAACTATCAAATAGTCTGAATAAGAAGATGCCCATGAGCTACAACAAAGAGTGACCAAAACCAGTCTTAAGCAGCTTAGTGGGGATGACGCAGTAGAAAGGCTGCAGTTCATCACTAAGTTGCACAGCTTTACTTTGAGCTAAATGTCACAGGGAATCAGAAAGGGGTTGAAAAAGAGGAGGATTCCCTAGAAACACTGCTTGTGTTTTTTTCCCTCTCTCCTACTAGAGCATTTTGTTTTGACTAGATTAACTTAGGTATCTTTTGTGCAGTTACAAGTAAGAACATTAGAAAGCTTTTCAAGATGCATGAAGTTTATATGTAATACATACATACATTAAAAGTATCCTTTGTTAAACTGGACTGCTATCTTACTTCCATCAGCTGCCCCGCAAATATAAAGCTCTTTCCTTAGAAGTACCATTTCTACCACAGGGAGGCCTCATGGATGGCACTAAAAAGGAATCCTCCTTTTATATTAGGATACTTCCTCGATTCTCAAGATTTATTTCTACCTTGGCAGTCACAAGCTTATTAACTTCAGAGGAAAACATTAGGTGAGAGATAATTGCATCACCAATGTTCATAATACTAAAGGATCTCCATTAAGCGATTGTGAAAGTACAGCCTGAAAGCAATCACCTTATATTGGTGTATTAGCTCTCTAAAGAACCATATAAGCCCAAAGTAACCACAATGGAGGTGCTGTACATGCACAAGGGAAAGGCTTGGATAAGGAAAGGGAAATTGCCCCTTTCAGGGACAGTAGGGAGCTACAGTGAGGCTTAATGACTAGCTGAAGCCAATCTAAGATTTCTTCTCTTAGATAATCCATAGACTGTAGCATCCAAGTAGTATTTACAACCTTGGATGATATGGTTAACCAAAGCTGATTTATATGCTCCAAACCCAGAACATTCCTTAGAAGTTAGATAAACCACACACAAATTGCATGCAATTTCTGAAGGGTCTCTACAGGCTCTCTGTAGTTACAGGAGAGAAATATTTATTGCATTTGGCATGGAAGTGAGCGCTGTGAGTCTGTGAGCACTGGGCAAAAACCAGAAATGGGTGAGCACTAGAGCACCAGATAGCAAGCACATTCTTTCCTTTCCTTTCCCAATAAATTATACAAAGGCGAACAGCTGTCACACTGACATTTCAGATCTGAAATATAGTTAAGAGCAAGTCATAACTAAGGCAAAGAAAATGAATGTCAGAAAGTTTTGTTTTTTCAAATTTCAGATAAGCTTTTTACCCCTAGGGTTAATCAGAGAGCTAGAGAAATCTGTTTGGAGTCTAACTTCTTACCAGAAAAATGTTTCTTTGTGCAGTATGTGTGTAAACATGCACAAGTAAGGGTACATGTATTTATATAAATAATAGGGCACACCTTTAATTCATTGCCCATGGTAATCAAAATACTAGCGGTCCTTCAGAGAATTTTTTTTCCTCCTGTATTAAGCAACCCCAATTAACAAGAGGAACCATCTGAGCAGCATACCCTGAAAAGCAGCTCCACAACTGCACACTAGACAGCAGGGTTTCTGACCTTTTCAAGAGGTACTTGTTGCCATGAAAGACCTCCATCTGCAAAGCTGGCTGCTGCACATTATTACCAAACAGTGCCCAGCTCTCAGGGTAGTTCAACCAGTGATAACACCAAGAGAATACAATCCTACCTTGACACATCACTGGTTAGCATGCTACCAGACAGCACGCAGCCATGAGCGTTGAATAGGTGAAGCAATAGCAAATTGAAAACAAGCTATAATTCTCTCTAGTCTACTAGCATATTTCTCATTATGGTCAAGTGACACTGATGAGAACTCCCAATGCCTGAACCTTTTACCTTCTTGCATGGTCAGGGCTAAGGACTCTGCACTGCTGCTATGAAGATACAGAATGGTTGCTTCGAAATGTCAAAATATTTCAAGTAAAGGGTGACACTCTGTCCGAAGGCCTGCTTGAAGGAACATTTCTGACTGGACACACAACATACAGCATCTAGGTGAGAGAAGAGCTTTTCTTTTCATAACTAACACCATTTTTCCTCACTTCTTTCTGGAGAGTGGCTAAATATTAGCAAAATTAAGCATTTCACATTCTCAAACTGAGACAGAGAAGTTTTGACTTGTTCACAGCCACAAAATTCAAGAGAACCAAGATCAGCCTCCAGAAGGCTTTGGCTACTAGATCGATATGAAGTAAAAAGGCAGGAGAGAGAGTCAGGCACTAACTGGATTTAGCCTACAGTGTTTCTTTAGTGTTTCTCCTTAAGTGTTTAAATCACTGTAAGAAAAGACCTAATGCACCTCCCAGGAAAGTTTACTTTGCAATCAGTTCCATAAGCACTGGGAACGGACACACTTTACACAGCCACACAGAAATAGGATGCATCTTTTGATGGAAATCTGATTTGTAATCAAAATCTTGATTGCTTTATTTGTGGGGAGAGGGGACATAGGTCAAGAAATACAGACAAAAATAAAAGAATACATAGCTCCAGATCCAGAGTTTAAATATAAACCCACAGAGATTGTATTTAAAGAAACAAGACTAGTTAAGAGATCCCTAGCCACTTTATGTGACAAAGTAGGATTCCTGCAGCTGCATTTGCTTACTGAGAGTTACTTTCAAATCAGTACCATTTATGTGCCTGCTAGCATGTGTGTATAAACCACTGGAACTACCTCCTTTCTTCCAACCCAGAAAAGATGTATTTAGCATCTGTGCTTTGTTTCACAAACTTCAAGACACATCACTGTTTGCGTTTCACAAACTTCAAAGACATGCACTGCCTGTGCGTCCTCTCCAGCATTTCAAATCTGACTAAACAAGTGTTTGGGTTCCAACAGAAAAGTGTTCATTTAAACTATATATCTCATCTGCTCAGATATTCCATCTATGGCATTGAGTATTCAAGTTGGTTTTTTGTCCCCTTTCTCTAGCCAAGTAACAAGAGTATGAAAAACATTCAGGAGCAACAGGAAAAGAAAAGGCTTTGTTAGTCTACTGGATCCCCAAGCAACTGCAGTGTCACAGCATCATCAAGTAATTAGGTGATATTAATCTTTCCAAACCAAAAACAGGCCTGCATCCTGTACCCCAGCTATATTGCCCAGTATCATACTCACCCATTTGCTCCACAATTTCAGGTGGAAAAACTCGAGACGCGAAGGCTCGTCTGAAAATATCTGAGAATTCTTTGTCGAGGCCTCCAATGCCCATTTTCTCAAAATTCCAGTCTGGGTTGATGATTGACTGGCGGTTCTCCTTGGTCTTTGATTTACCTGGAAAAAAAAAAAAGTCATTTCAAACACGAGGTACAGCGGAACTACAGCTCATAGAAGTACCACCACAAGGGCAGTTCTAGCAGGTCAGACTCATGCCCATCTAACTCAATATTCAGTTTCAAACATTAGTCAAGAGGATGCACTATGATATGAGTGCAAGGGCATGTGCTGGACACTTCCCCTTACTATTTTCCTAGCCTTCAGCTGTTCCTGTTCAGTAATTTCCTGAGCCAGATGATGTTTCTCTGTATTTAATAACCCTCAGTAGATTTCTCTTCCCCAAATTTGTCTAAGCCCCTTGAATCCACGTAAACTTAGGACCTATAACACCCTACCACATCTGCTCCACAAATCAGCTACTGGCTGCCCAAAAAAACAGCTCATTTTGTGTCTTTTGAATCTGGTAGGAACTAGCTCCATGTCAGCCCTTTTCCATCCTTTCTGGGCCATTTAGGATTTTGTTAGACTTGTCTTGTATCCACCTCTGTTGTGGCTTTTCCAGATAGAAGAGTCCTAACTTGTTACTAATTCCTTACACAGCAGCTGCTCCTCACTCGAGCATCTCTGTTGTTCTCTTTCCAGTCTTCTCTACTGCGCCTATATCCTTTTGGAGACAGGCAGACCAGAACACACACTGCGGTTTGCCTGCATATTGAATACAGATGCAAAATTATGTCTTTCTTTGTTCCAAATCCTTTTTTTTTTAATAATGTGTAATAATCTTAACTGCGCTTCATAATTCTTAACAAAAGAGCTCATATGGCTACTGAGCATGGGGCCGACATTTCTTTGGAGTTACCACAACCGGGATCTTGGCTGTAAACAGCAATCATTTTTGACTGAAGTTAGGAGTGTTTTCCTTCCACATATCACTTTATATTTATCTATATTGAGTTTCCTCTGCCATTTTACTTCCTAGTCACTCAGCCCCATAAGAGCAAGTTTTGTCACCTCATTACTCAGCCTTTTTTCCAGCTTATTCAATAATTATAATGAAAAGCCAAAGCCCCAGAAGAGACTCATGCTGAACTCCACTGGAACTGTTATTTACTTCTACCCTTTCATCATTCATCCATTTATGCAAGGACCTTCTCTCTTACACATCTCTGCTAATTTTCTTTTTAAAGAAATTTTGATAAGGAGCTTTGCTGGAAGAGCTCTGAAAAATAGGCAGACTATGTCAGGCATTGTCCCCATGCTTTTTGATTCCTGTAATGAACCTCCAGCGGGATCTAGGACTTCCCTTACAGATGACATGCTGACCCTTCCCAGTGTATCATCTTAATACAAATACCCACTAATTTGATTCCTTCCTACAGTTTCTGCTGATTTGTTTTGTACAGATTTCAGGTTTAAAGATCTGTAGCTCCCCAGACCTTCTCTGGCATCTTTTTAAAAATTGACAGCATATTTGCCATCCTCCAGTCCTCAGATACCAGAGCAATTTTAAGCAAAGTTATAAATCAGTATTACAAAGTTAGCTATTTCATCCTTCAGTTCCTTTACAACTCAGGTGAATAAAAGCCAGTCCTGCCAATCTACCACTGCTCTTTTTGCTATTTATTCCATAACCTCTTCTACAGATATTTCAAGTTAAGCCAGATTCCCTAAGCACAGGTTTTGTATTCTCTATGCAATATTGTAACAGCCCCCCTTTCTCTTTTGCTGACAAGCTCCACATAAGTTTAATCTTAGAGAGCTCCATACTCCCTTTTCATAGGAGCTTAAAAGTAATCAATGCATTTAGGAGGCAGACAGTAAGCAAAAATGCAACAATAAGAATGATACAGCTGCAATGCCAATAAAGCTATGTAGTCTTACCTTAAGTTTATTTGAGGGAATTTACAAACCAGCACTGACACTCACATTGGTCAAATCAACACTTCCAAATGGCTTTTAGCAAAGTCACTTTGCTTGGCTACTAGAGAATCTAAGAGTAATATAAATATCCAGAGCGGAAGCAAAGATTCTCAAGCTATTCCTTAATTCTTGCTGAAATTGGGTGCCTCATACTTTCTTAGACTCACCCAGTACTTTACAGGATTGGGCCTGAGGACTATAATCTCCCCTAACTTTAGGCATCCAGAGTCCACTAACTATGCTAAATAAAAGTTCTATATAAGCTGCACTAGATTTCTATTTCTATCTTGGACTAAACACACCTAGAATCAATACTTCCAATTCCTCATATGAGGAAATAAACAAGAACACGTCTCTAACTATCATGTTAGCGACAACATGGTACTATGTACAACATGCATCACTAACATATAGTACAAAGTCAGGCAGCAGTGAACATTTGATTCACCAGTTACTATACATTTATTATCTCATTGCTCCACTGCAACCAGCTCATCGAGACATGTTATTTTTCCTCTAGAACTTAGCCTATATCCCCCCCTTCTGGCAGCACCTGATCACAGTAAAATTCTCTTAAGATTAAAATAAAACGTCATGCACAGGTTTTAAAACACAATTTTATGCTAAATAGAAGAAATAGAATTGGCATTATTTTTTAATGATCATAATCCTTTTCTACTGAGGAAAATAAAGGTCCTTTATTGAAGATACCTGCTCAGTGACACTTCCTTTACTTTTATGTTCCCTCTCAGAATGTAATTATTCACAACTTCACAATTCCCCAGAGACTAACAAACAAAGTACATGTGCTAATGCGCTAAACAAAGCACATTAAGCAGTTCTGCCTCAGATCAACAAGGGGATTAAATAAAGTACCAATCTAACAGAAGTAAATTCAGGCATAAGCAACTCTTTTTGTCTTGTGTGCAGGCAATGAAGTAGAATGAAGTGAAGGATTCCTATTCCCAATCAATTAACTCTCCCAGGGGACCATTCTTCATACCTATCCAGGTTAGGAGAAAGATCACAGGTCATTACGTGGCTTTGAACACTAACCAAGTAAAATATCACTGCTTGCTATGACTCAGTAAATTGGATTATGTTACTATCCACCCCAAGTTGCCCTATCAAAACAGGAAAAATTAAATGGGCTAAAATTATGTTCATGCAAACTTCATCTGGTGCTCTTAAAAAACTGTATCCTGATTAATATGCTTAATTACAGTGTCATCTACAATCCCTTTCCACACACCTCTTTTTTTTAGTACAGAATGTACTTCCAGATAAAGATATCTATGTAATATGCAAGGTATGTAGTTACAGAACAGCTTCATGTCTCCCCATTTCTGAAAGACAACTACAGAACATTAAGTCATAGCCTCACACTTCAGGAAAAGAGGACTTATGGGCAGCATCAAAACTCAGTCTCTGCCACAAGCTCCTGCAATGATGAATGAGTGAAACTATTTTCTTAAGTGGCTACCAACCTCACAATCTTTATTTCTGTATCAAACATTCAAAGTACTGAGCATTCACAATCAAGGAGAGCTGTGCTTTGAACACAAGTCCACTGCAAAAATACGATTAAAACAGTCACTCAGCTGAGGAGACCAGGTTCACTGAACCCTCAGTCAGAGCAGCCTGCACCTGCTGCAAAGGCTCTGCCACTTCTCATCTGTGAAAGAGCAGCAGCAAAAGCAAAAGGTTTCTTAGTTCAGGTACTCCAGGAAAGCAAGAGGAAAACAGGTATGTCTGTTCAGTGCAGGACTTAAATTGCACCCAGCAAGGAATGTCTACAGCCATATTACCAACAAGGGAGGTACTGTTCGCTTCCTAACTCAGAAAGGGAAAGAAACAGCCAAACTAACAGAGAACGTACCTGCTCTGCAGGACAGCATAACCTTACTGTGTGAACAGTTAATGCAAACACATATAATAACATACTGTGCTGTATTTTGCAGCTATCATCAGTTTCTGAAGGGTAGGACTTTCACAAGTTAAGAAAACTGAAATGATCTTCACAAGCTATTCTTGATCAGCTTTTTAAGATTCCCATGAGAAAAGAGATATTAAAGATGGGATTTTCACAAGTTTTACACTTGTTTTGCAATTTTGACCTATGCATTCAGAAAAGTTCTTCTCACCTTCCCATTTCTCTGCTGTTTGAAATTAAAGAGGCATTGGCCTGTTAGTGTCCCTGAAAATATCATTCTCTGATGTACAGAGAGTTAAAACATTTCAACTAGCTGTTGTCTTTGGCTGGAGCTACTGGCCCATGGTGCCTCTCTAATCTAGGCCTATGAATGCAGAGAACTTCTCTACTCAAGCAACTTGGTTTGCTATGGTGAGTGCCTTTGAGGGACTCTGATATTTTTTCCTCCTATCTTCTCTCTCTATATTTTAGATAGACTATGGTAATAAGTATGGTCTAAAGGCCCAGAGAATAGCCTTACTAGGTCAGACAGTTGTGAAGCTTCATACTTGGATGATACAGTGACTTGTATAAAGCCCCTGGTTAGAAGAAGCAATGTTTGCAGGGCAGGTGGTATCGTGGTATCTTCTTAGGGCAATAGTTTTTAACAGACTACTGAACATCCACAACCTGCTTTCTACAGGGTCTGTGAAAGTTCAGTCATCTGCTAGTTCAAACAGATACCTGGGAAACATTTTGGGATGTGGTTTTCAACTGATTAGGTCAAATAATATAACTGAAAAAAGCAAACTTTGAAGCATGCATGTCCTTGAGGCCTGAAAAAGCAGCAAACCTCAAGCTCAATTTATCTCTTTGGATATAGTGGCACTTACCAATCAGATTGAGAGAAGAGTTCTCAGCTTTTTCAAAGGCAACTTGACTGTTCCCAAGAACCAAACCAACCTCAATCTGCAAAAGGGAGGAAATCAAATAGTTAAATTCAACTATTAGGTTCAACTTCAAATTCTTCTTTGGGTATTTCCAAGCACACCTCTGAAAGCAAGAAACAGTGGCAAAAGCTCCAGTACAGAACTCACTGGTAAAAATGTGAAATATTAACACCTCCTCTAACACTAATTTTAGTAACAATCATATGACACTGAATGCACTTTATTATACCTAAGGAACTCCTGTTATAATAAGCTGGCTTTTTAAAGCTATTTGTTTAGTTCAAAACCAAGTATTTTATTTCAGCAAGATCTAGTAAATGGAGACCAAAAAAATGCTTTCTATAGAAGGAAAAAATCACAACTGGACATATCTGGAGGATATGAAATTGTCAAGAGAGAAGGTTTCCAGGAACAAGTGTATAAAGACCAAAAAATTTCATCTAGTCCCAGCTCTGCACTTCAGTGGGTGCCACTCTAAGCACCCAGATACATAAGATAAGCACAGGAGACTGTATTTAACCAAAAATACTGTTCCTTATCTTCTCCGAGGCAAAAGCAGCAGCCAGATGAAACAAATGCATAGCTTCTGCAAATGCAAGTAGCCTAAATTCCTCCTTGTAACAACATCTGATCAGTACTTGAGTCTCTGCAGCCCCTCCAGAACAAACACAAACTCCCGTGTCCCTACCTTCTGCTTTTTGCTCACTCCAGGCTCTCCTTTGAGGATGCTGGGATCCATAGCTTCCATGTCCTTTACCAGCAGGCCAAAAAGTTTGTCATTAAAACTGAACACAAGCTGTGAAAAGAAGCAGCAGAAGGGGATTTTAACTCATTAAAAAGCTAAAAAGGATTTTGACAAGGCTAATCAGATTTGAAGAGAAAGAGGCCCAAGGACTCTTACATTTACCACCTAATAAATCTCACACAGCTTTTCCTTGTGAAGGCCTGGTGTACTTGAATATATCGTTTTGAGGTCCCATACTGAGGGCAATGGAGCAAAAGTAGCCCAACATTAAGTCAGGAGGGAAAATTCAAAGAGCTGCTTCCTTCCAAGAAAAGGTCTTCTCCCCCCACCTTTATCCCCTGGCTGTATGTTCTGTATCATCTCTTGATACTTCAAATATTGATGCTAGCCCAGGAGGGCAACTTAGCTCAAATCTTTTTGATCTGTTGCATTTTGGTTTGACAAGGATACCTCAAAAATAGTTCTGCAATAGCTAGCAGACAGATAAGAGTGAATATTAACAGAAGCAGGGTCCCATCCTATAGAAGACAGCAGGTTGTCTTTGCAAATCTTTTCCTCTAAGATTATATTTGCAACTGATTTAAGAGTCAGGCCCTGCCTGTTGTAAACTACCCTGAGAGACGGACCACAGTTTGTCCAGAGAATGTGGCATTCTAAACACTATCACAGGAGTTCTCAGAGACAGAAACTCCCCCTCTTATAGAGCTGTAAAGGCTCAGTTGTAGGGACATCAGCTTTCAGAAATCCCTACGTCAAATGTTTCATACCTAATTTACAACTGGAGTCTGTAGAGCAGTAATAAATATTTGCAGCGGTATATACCCCACATTGAAGGTGCTACTGAAAATTAATTAAAATAGCATCTATATTCTTTTGATATAGAATGAAAACAAAGTTATGTGTCAAAAGATTCCAGAAGCTGCTCCACTTATATCCAACCAGGCTGAGACGGAGAAAGAACCTAGGTTTCTCAATCCTTAGGATTTTCCTCACAAAGATATATTTCTTTAACTAAGGACAAGATAGATTTTAAACCACTCTACTCACACTCTCAGTGAAAGTCATGACGGTTCCACTATTCATAAAGAAACTGTTCACACTATAAATAATTTGTATCTATAAGCTGTCCTCTGCAGCACGGACTAAGTACTAGGCATTCTTCAGTATTTTGTATCATTGCATATACCAGCGCACATGTCTTCCTTCAAGACCATTTTAGCCTAAAAAAATTCCCACCTGCTGTCCTACTGAGAAGGCTTGGCTGTTGAAATGTTGGATGAATTCAGCAGCCATTTTGTCTGTGTCATAGGGGTTGGAGTCAATGTTCTTCTTCTGCAGAAAATCTATCTCAATTGTCATTGTGCCAATACATTGCTTAGCCTTGTCAAAAGTGTATAAAGAAACTGTAAAAATAAAAAGAAGAAAAGCACATTTCAGCACAGCAAGATCGTCACACAATGTATTAAAATATGCTACAAGTTTGTCAATACATGTTCTTCCAGTTATACGGGATTACTCACTTGCCAGATGTTAATAGTCTTAGAATATTTTTCCCACTCAATACTTTAAAAAAATCCTTCTGATAAATAGGAACATCTATTTAATTCATATAATCACATATTTCAGATACTAGATTTAATAAAATTAAGCCTTTTATTTCTGATAAAGACTCTTGTTTCTCTTATATCCATCTGCAAGATAAAAAAAATACAGAGAATGTATCTCTACTGAAAACCCTTGCATTTCTTTAAAACCTCTATTAATGCTCTTAAAATTGCTCAAACACCATAGGAATTTGGGGATGAGGACAATGAAAGCAAGTTCATCCATGCTGCACTACCACGATAGCTACATCAATGTCCCAGACAGGATGTGGAGGACAAGCCTTCAGAAAGCCCCAAAGGAAGCACTAAGAGTAATCCTGCTGGTAAAGCAATGACAAGAAGTCATAACTGTTTTTATGTAGCAATAGATTGAACTGGGTCCCCTCCAGACTAGACAGCAGAAAGTTAGGTCACATTGCTACCCCTGCCCTTAAACCTGCATATAACCTATTAGGCTTCCACAATTCAGAATAAGGCATCAACTACCCCTTCCCCTTTGATGCCAGCAAAGAGGCCCTACCCCGCAGGTGCAATGAGGCCCATCTTAGCATGCCACAGGACACTTCCAGTGATGCAGAATCAATTGAAAGGCCCTTGAAAAGGGGCAGAAGGCAAGGTGGCACTGAAGGTACTTCATAGTCATTGCCAATTGCACCCAGTCCCCACAGGGCTCAGGTTACGTCATGTCAAAAACAGAAGGACACTCAGGGCTATCATAGCTGGAGAAAAGAGGGTAGAAAGGAAAGGAGAGCATGCTTCACATCTTCAGGGCTACTGCCTCAACACACAATTGATTAGAAGGACAGGATTACACAAAGCAGATAGTCTTAATAATTCACAAGTCCAGATTGCAGCAAAGGATGGAAGCAGACATTTCTCCAGAATACTGAGATATCTTACAGGTTTGCCTTGAATCTAGAGAAGAAAGTCTTGTTTGATATAGAAGTCACAGCTAAGGATAAGGCTGTAGGAGGTGAATAAGGGAAATACACTTCCCCTATAGCCTGCTATTTACTATCAACCCTTTGGCAGTAAAATGGTTCCAGAGTAAACCTGCAAACTCCTAGGAAGGTTCTAAGTTGACACGAGCTTCTACCTATGAGAAGCATCAGCTGAGAGAATAGATTCACTCAGATAAAGGGAATGAAAAGAGCCTGCCACTTGCTTAAGATGATACTGGCAGACAGCTAGGTCATTACAGTATATAATGTCCTTCCTTGTATAAGAACAGGCCACCTAGAAATGAGCTGTCATGGAAAGATCTTCAGGGAAATAGGGATAAAGAAGAAACAGTATACCAATTCCTGAACTGAGGTATATCTACTTATTCTTTTGGAGCAGGACGTGGTACCAGGGGTATTATACTAGTCATAGCTGATGAAGGAGGGACATTGGCCCTGCAAGGACGTAACAGGACTCCTTCTTACCTTACAGGTCTCTTTAGGGCAGCTATTTCATTTTGCTTCCCTAATCTCAGGGCTCTGTCAAACAAAAGCATCTGGAAAGAGCATTAGTCCCTGTACACGGACACCTCACAGAAATGAGTGTCAACAAGTGCTCCTTAAGTCAAGGAGCAAGTGTTGGAGATGTCTGGTACAAAGAAGGACAATCATGCACCAGGAAGCAATATACTGCACTGGCTTCAAAAGCACATAAAGTACTAGAAACTGAGAGGCAGAGTGAGAAGGCAGCAGTGATGTCCTGGTGCTGAGAGTAGAGCTGACACCGCCAGCACCCAGCTCTAGGTGTGCATCTCCAACTGTACCACAAGAGCTGATAAAGCTGAAGCCGAATCATACTAAAGGCAAAATGACAATATCCACTGGAAGCACTCAGCCCCAAGACCCCTTTCCACAAATGCAAACTTATGAGTTTTACTCACCTGTAAAGTGCTAACCATAGTATTAGGGGCTTGACAGAACTCAGCTTCACTGTACCATTAAGAAGAGGATCATGCTTTAAGCTGACATTTAAAGCATAGCTTTCACATTATTAGAGGAACGAGACAAAAAGGCAGTCCTGGTAAGTCACTAGTTTTATGAATATTTCTCTCTACCTGTAGTATAGCTTTACTAATTCTTTATATTCACAAGGGAGTCATATGACATTTAGCCACTCTGTATGAAATTGCTGCAATTTTTTTAAATACACATTCCCACATAGTTGGTGAATTTGCAGCAGGGTATAGTACAAGTACAATCTGAAATCTGCTCTAACAACTGACTACAATTATTTCCAAAATAATTGTAGCATTAAAAAAAACACGTATCCGTAAACCAGCTGGTACATGCTACTGACCAGCAACCAAACAAGGATGAGAAGTAAATCCACGGCTCCTTCCCCACATCTGCAAAAAATTATAGGCGGTTCTATAGTTAAAAAGGCAACAAGAACTAGAAAAAAAAAAAAAAAAAAAAAAAAAAAAAAAAAAAAAAACACACAAACTCAGCTAGCAAAGAAAAGAAGCTTCCAAGCAAGAGTCTCTGAAGGCCTAGAAGCAAACAAATCCAAACAAATACCAAAAACTGCATGAGAATCCAGTACAAAAAGAGATCCAAAAAGACATCAGACTTTACATTCAACTAATGACCCAGCCCCATTGACTTGCTGATTTCAAAGAAGCTGGGAAAATGAAAAGCCAAGGAGAGAGCCTCCCGAACAGCACCTCATGTTCACAGCTTTATCATTTCTCAGTCTAGGTTCTCCTCATTTTTTGATGCAGTATACAGTCATAACCTCTCTCACGATCCTCAAATGCGACAAGAATTCCCTGGAAGCACTGTAAACACCTGAAATGCCACAACAGTGGTCTAAAGAACAGTTGTTTCACATCAACAACCCTGAACCAGACAACCATTGGAGCAGGCTTCATCACAATAACCTTGTCAAGAATGAGATGGCTGACCTCATTAACATGCAGGTAATTCCTGATGAAAGACCATCCCTTTCCTTGATCAGCCGTTATGAAGAACATAAGAGACCTTCCTACAATACCAGTTGCTGCCAGTTTGGTCAGTACTTCAGAAGCTGCAGACAGACCAAAGAGCAGCACCTAAATGTGATCCCAGTCTTACATAAACCAGACGTAACTGTGACAGATGGGCAAATGAAAGATATTGTATACAGGATGAAAGGTGCCAGTTAGTCTCCTCTTTGAACACTGGCAAAAAGCCTGTCAGGCCCCATTAAAATCTAAACTTTGGAATATGAATCTTCAACTTGTGCAAACTCTAGATGGCATCCCTTCCACTTCATCACATTGCAGAATCCTTCATCTCTGGTCAATCTCACTCTTATAGTGCCCTCAATCAGAGGACCATTTGCTCCTTAATGTGGCAAGGCCTTGTTTTAAAGCAGAGAAGAAAGTGAGAGCAAAAAGCTAAAGAATTCAGCTTTCTTATGGGTCGTCTGCCCAGGAGATGAGCATCTGACACAGTGACACACTAAGACAGTATCAATTATGCACCAAACAGACCCAAAATCAGAGAATGAAAAAGTGACTTAGGGCCCTCAAGAGCACTTGTTTATGGTACTGGTCTGTGGGTAGCTTGCATAAGCATAACCTGCATGAAGAGGCTTCCCTGACTTTTTAAGAAGCCCAACTACATTCTGCAGCTGAATTTTCAAATATTCTCATACACTAATTTATGTTTCTTATGTTGTGAAGTACCTTTGACCAGAAAGGCATTTGATTAGTGAAGTATATGTGCAGAGGTTTCATTTCTGTAGCCTCCTGCTCAGGAAACACTGCAGAAAGCACACAGTGTAAATGCACAAACCTCAGCACTGACTGGCAGCAAATATTCATGCCTCCCATGTTCCTGCCACAGCTCAGGTAAAAAAGAGGACAAGATAATAAATGAACATGTGCAAACACCAACATTAAGATGATTTTTCACATGAAAAATACGCCACTTGCTGGAGTAATTTAACAGGCAAGCAGAAGTGCTTTCCCACACAGGGTGACACCTTCCTATATTGCAACATGCTTGGCACTAATGTTAAAGACATTCACCAGCACCTTCTGAGATTATGTTCACATGGTGACGATCTGGAGGCATTTTCTTAAACACTGTTCAGTGAAAACATCAGTGCTATTCATAAAGTTCATCACTCCAGCAATCCACAGCAGACTGCTGGCTTTTAATATCCTTTAGCATTAAAAGTGTCCCATTCCCAATAATCAAAGTTTAGATGACAGTAAAAGCTTCAACTAAAACAGCTGTTTTCTGTTAGCTGATAGGTGTTCTCCAAAACCACAAGGATAGACCATTCTGGATACATTTTTTTAAGTGTTCACATCTGCATGTGAACACTGATGTTTCATATAGAGCTGCTATATCAATAGATGTCTGAAGATAAGTCAAAATACCTCCACCTCATCTTGAAAATGCTAAGAAACAAGAAGTATTCAGACATGAGAGCAACTCCCTTTCACTAATGAGGGCCCTACAGTACCTGAGGAAGGGCTGAAGAACTTGGATTTTCCATTTCAGTTTCACTTCAGTCTGGAAACATGGAAATTGGCTTTTATAAACTTATGTCATGATCACGCTGCTGTCTGACTTACCATCTATCTCTTGTCCAATGGAAAGTCCAGCCCATTTTCGCTGTGAAAACAAGACAAAAGCTTCAGAACTGCAGCAACGTCTACTCAAGAGTCAACATCCTCGTTTACAAAAACAGACCCCTCCATCAGAAACAAGGAAACAAACAGGAAACAAGTCAAAATTATGGAATCATTTCTATCAATAATTCTATTCTCTGACCTCAGGAGGTCACCTGTTCAACCCCCTCCCACTCAAAGCAGGGCTAATATCAACTTTATATCAGGTTGCTCAGAGTGTTGTCATGTTCAACATCTGATCATTCAGGAATCAATTTTGGAATGACAAGCCATGTCTAATCCCAAAGGTGAGGATTACATTCATTACTGTAGACTTGATGAGATAACATTCCTATCGCTGATCACCCCACCATCTCTGTAACAGATATTGCCATACTGGATGTGTTTTTCACCATTTTGCTCATTTTCTAATCAAGCTCGGGGGCTGATCACGTAAGATGTGGTGCAACAGGCAGGAAAGGCTGCTCTGCACTCCATGATCATTTTAAAAGCTTACAAGTAAACACTGATTGCAGGACTTTGTTATGATGTGAAGCAATATAACTTAAATTAATTAAATATTTTCCAGACAACTAGCAAGAACTCCTTAAATCTACTACCTGCCTTCAAATTCCTTTTAAAAGACTTGTGTAGCATAAAACTGCATGAGAAAAATTTGGAAATGGTTTAATAATTATGTGACATGAAAATCTTTAACTGTTGTTATGACAAAAGTTCTGGCTTTCCTACTGCAAAAATGGTCTTCTTCCAATGATTCTTGTTCTACAGATTGGCTATTGTCTATTTACAGTTCGCATTTCAGGCTATTCAACATTCATGGTCTCATTCCCACTGTATACCAAAAAACAAGAACTCTTATTTTGAGATGGCTCGTTAGCCATTATAAACTAAGTTTGATAGCTAACTCTTCTCTCTTCCCTTCCCCCCAAATAACTGAAATACACAGAAATGGCCCTTCCTGCTAACACTGGCAGTGTTATTTGCTTGACAGCTTCATTCTGTGTTTCATTTATTAGATTACATCTCTTTCTCTCATTCTTATTTCAAAATGAGGAATCAGTAATGGCAAGAGCATGCAACACTTACAGGAACAAGAAACAGCATTTAGTAAGATAAAACATAGCTTTGTAAGAATGATAGTCACGAATGAGAGGCATGAATCACAAGAAAATATTAGTATCATTACATAAGGCTCTGGTAAGACCCCATTGGAAATATTGTACTTTATGGCCATTTATGATTGGCTTTTTATCCTAAAAGGATAAAAAGGTTTGGGAGAAGGAATACAGTGACCTTTCTTAAAAATGAAAATCTCCTCCTATACTCCTTCTTCAATATGTTTGTGGTTCAAAACGGAACTTAAGCTTAAGGAAAGAATTCCCTTGACGCAACAGGGATCAACATGTTGGAAATCAATGCTCAGAATAGGAAGTCTTAAGCATTTGACATGCTAGTATTCCCAAAAAGGTGAAAACAGATTATGATTCCATATTTAATCCCATGCTTCACAGCTTCCACCATTTACCTGCAAGGCCATGAAGAATTTCCTCCCTCCCCTGACACTGTAACTCTTCAGCAAAACATAGCACAAACTCACCATCATCTGAAGTACCAGTCACTGGTAACTACCAGTGCAAGGATGGTGGGCAGGCACACTGGTACTCCTGCAAATACTGGGAAGTGCTGGGCTTTGCTCAAACCATCCAGTCTAAGGCTATCACCAGATTTCAGGACAGGAAGGAAAGCTGCCCAAGTTCAGCTAGAAAAATTCCTTAAGATTTTTTCTGGGTCAAGAGATATAGCTCATTTACCTAGGTACATTTGGGCATTTTCTGCTAAGAAGTTTGCCATCACTGCGCTGCCCTTGGTCTTTCATTCTCTGCAGTATATAAACAGCTTTTGGTCTTTAAAGCTAAGAGTTAGGATTATTATAGAACGATGGTGGTAAAGAATTTAATATACATAAGCAATGCAGAGCAGAAGTTCTTAGAATTCTTGCAAACTAAAACATCCACTATATGACTGTCTGTGATTACATGAGATGGGTCTTGATGTAAATATATATTTTGTGTAATGCTGGTTATGGTTATCAAAGACTTCAGGAAATACTGGAAATGTAAATTCTAGCATAAGGAATACTCAAATAAAGCATTCATCCACCAGCAGGCATAACACTTACTACCACAGTCACATTTTAAGGATAAGCAAACTACCTCACTCCTAGCAGAAGTGTTTTCCAGAGCTACAATAACTACTGGAATCTACAAAAATCAACCCTAGATCATGAACTCACCTACTTTAAGCCTGTGATACAAATATCTTATACTGATAACTGATTTTCACTTTTGGCATCATACATGGACATATGGCAATGTTATATTCACCCACTCATCCACACAAATCTGAATTTGAACAATATGTCAAAAAGTAAAACGTAGTTTTTGGGCCCAGGCCAAGTCATCTGTTGTGGAAAAGTGTCTTGCGTTTGCAGCAAAGAGATTCAGCTTCTAGACCAGGTATTAGCAGGAACATATGAAAGCATTACATAGTTTCAGAGGAGACAAGTTACACTTATTTTATGCATTTCATTGCACTTTTCATCTGGAAATACTAGTAATGACTGAACACAATCAATAACATTTCCTGCAGGTCTTTGAAAGAGCAACATAGGAAAGAAAACCCTTTAAAGCCAAGGGAAAATAGAGGAAAACAACAATTCACAATAAAACAGATACAGCTCAGGCTTTTCTTTTTAAAAGGGTTTGTTGCTCATGTTTTTTTAAAAATGTTAAATTAAACCTTTTATAGTATATATAAGCTAAAAAAGATCAAAGGAATAAAAGAAAGTTTGTTTCAGCTATAGTACATGTCTCCATGAGCTTGCAATGTCAAAAATCAAGTTTGCAGCATACTTTACACAGGCATCTCCCACCAATTAGGATAGTTATCGTTAATCTCGATGTCAAAAGAGATTTTGATTATTCCACAGCAAAACGTTAAGTCAAACCACATAGTACCTGGGGCAGGCTGAACGCGACACTGCCAGGAACAACTGAGGAATGGGTTCTCAGTGTGAAAATATACTTGTGGTTGGGAGAAGTCTTCACAACAACATGTCTAGAAGAGAGAACAGTATTTTACTTCAGTATACACCTAGAAGGATTTCAAATTGCTCCCAGTGCTGTGAGAATTCAAAAGAAATAAGCCAGTTTACATTCTAGTCATGTAACATGACTTCAGCGATGTAACATGATCTCAAAGCTCAACCACAAGACATTGTACTAACAGTTATTATTTAAAACCCACCATCATCTTTATTTCAGGAATTGCATTATAAAACCTGACAGAATCAAACAATAACCACAAAGACCAAGGTTGCCATATCTAAAACCAACACCAGCTTCACATCTCAAGCTTCTAACACCAAGGCAATATTGTTTTACCAAAATCCAAGTAATATAACCCACTTGAGATTTTAATATGAAAGAGACGCAAAGCCTTTAAAAGGCTCATATGCTGTTTAGAAACTTGAACATAGGAAAAAAAAAAAAAGAAAAGAGAGGAAGAAATCCTGTACAAGAAGCAAGATCACATAAGGTGCTGAGGCTGACTGTTCTGTTTGCTAGTGATGAGCAAATCCTGTAGAACTCACATGGGACCTGAAGATGGGGAACACTACATTCAAAATAGAACAATGTCAACAGTCAGAAGCAGACACAACAGTAGCAACTGTGTGTGCCTGTCTGTCACTCTCAAAAGCTATGCTGTAAGGAACAAGGAGACTCAAAAGTGGCTTAAATTTGTCTAAAAACTATGCATGATAGTTCTCATCATGTGATAAGCAGACTTTTATTTTGCTTTCTTAAGCCAACAAGAAGTAAGATGAGATTTGTGTGCACTGGTGACAAGTGGTGATGGAGGAATCATGTTTGACAACACCTTGCTCTTTGCAATTGTCTGTAGTTTAACTACCCATATGATATATGTGGTCACTGATTCATGTTACCTGTGGTTCCCTCTCTCACCAACTCTCTTTTCCATGGTTAGAAACCAATGGCTAGATGAACTATTCTAACAGCCAAAATCCACACTCCTGGCCGTGCTCCCTCCCTTGGGGTGAATGCATTATGTGCACATATGCTCAGTATATTTTCATTTACATATGAACTGTAAATCTAGCACCGTCCAAAAGTTGATCTGCTGCACACATATACATTAACTACACCATATATGCATAATAGTTTCAGCAACACGGTCGGAAAGAACATAAGGTCCTTTGAGACGAGAGGAAATGTGTGGCTGGCATAACCAGAAGGACTAGACATCACTAGCTTTTGCCCAAACATACAGAAAAGCCTGCAAAACTTTTCCAGGAACTGTTAGTGCTTCATGGCACAGCAGGGTAAGAAAGCATTTTAAACATATCGCACAGAGATATATACCTTCTCTGACAGGTGGGTAAGTGATTTGATTCTTTACTTGCTCTGGTCTTAAATCATCCATTAGCTGCTGAAAGCCCCAACTGTAGGGATATGCACACCTCCTTTTCCATCTCCTGCCCCAGGTAAACCCCGAAACCTATTTTAGGTGGCTTGGCTCCCCATACACGTTACACAGGGAAAGTAAAGCATTTAAGGGAAATTTCATGGCAATCAGAGGAGGTTCTTGAAGACAGAAAGAAAGCAAATGTCACTCCTATCTTCAAGAAGGAAGATACAGAGAACTACAAGCTGGTCAGCCTCACTGCCATCCCTGGGAAGGTGATAGAGCAAGTAAACCTGGAAGCCAATTCCAAACATATTTAGGACAAGAATGTGATCAGGAGCAGTCAGCATGGATTTACAAAGGAGAAATCATGCCTGCCCAGCCTTCTACGGTGAAACGCGTGGCTAAATGGATGAGGGGAGAGCAGTGGATATTTTTTATCAGAACTTTAGCAAGGCTTTCAACGCTGTCACCCACAACATCTTTGCACACAAACCAATGAAATACAGACTAGATAAAGAGACAGTGAAATGGACTGAAAACTGGCTGAACTGCACAAAGTCCAGCTGGAGGCCAGTCACTAGTGGTGTACCCTAGCTGTCCATACTAGGGCCAATACTGTTTAACCTCTTCATTAATGACCTGGATGATGGGGCAAGTCTGCAGACAGCAGAAAATTGGGAGGAGTGGTTGATACACCTGATAATTATGCTGCCTTTCAGAAGGACTTCAACTGGCTGGAGAAATGAGCAGACAGCAACCTCACAAAGTTCAGCAAAGGCAAATGCCAAGTCCTGCACACCTGGAGAAGAACAACCTCACACACCAGTACAGCCAGGGGGCCAACCGGCTGCAAAGGCTTGAAAGTAGCCTTGCAGAAAAAGACCTGGGAGCCCTAGTGGACACCAAGTTGAACATAAGGCAGTAACATGCCCTTGTGGCAAAGACAGCCAACAGTATCCAGGGCTGCATTAGGAAGAGCATTGCCAACAGGTCAAAGGAGGTGATCCTTCTCCTCTACTCAGCACTGGTGAGATACACGGCTGGAGGACCATGCCCAATACCGGGCTGCCCAGGATAAGAAAACATGGTCATCCTGGAGCGACTCCAGAGAAGGTCCACAAAGATGATTAAGGGACTGGAGCATCTCTCATATGGGGAGTGTGTGAGAAAGCTGGGACTCTAGCCTGGAGCAAAAAAGATCTGGAGGGATCTTATCAATGTGTATAAATACCTGATGGAGGGAAATAAAGAAGATTGAGCCAGACTCTTCTCAGCAGTAGCCAGTGACAGGACAAGAGGCAATGGGCACAAATTGAAACATAGGAAATTCCACTTTAACATAAAAAAATCTTTTTTTCTTGTGAAGATTGTTCAACACTTGAACAGCGTGCTCAGAAAGGTCATGAAGTTTCTACCCTCAGCTATATGCAAAACCTGACTGGACACAGTCCTGAGCAACCTACTCTAGCTGACAATGCCTTCCTTGATCAGGGGGTTGGACTAGATAATCTCTAGAGGTCCCTCGCAAGCTCAGCTATTCTGTGATTCAGTAGGAATGGCACCCAAAACAACCTGCATGTTTAGTGTATACCATCTGCCTCTAACCAGTCGGAAATGCCAGACACAGGGGCATACTTGAAATTCCATCCTTTTGAGGGTTAGGGCACCTTTGGTGACCACAGAAGAAGCTTAAAAGGTGTAATTAACCTCTCCAGGGAGGCAGAGGAGTGGGCCCACCCAAAACTGAATTTTGCTCTAAGGACCACTTCATTTTAAATTTATTACTAGATAAAACACAGAAGCTGTCCAAGGACTGGAATCAAGAGGTTTCCAGCATACAAAGTATCAATCTGAATAGTTTAAGTTCATATCAGTACACAGCCAATGGGTAAACAAGGCATTACATTGCAGAGTGTTAGGCAAACATGCCAGTAAGCGCTATACAAGTTCTGGCTGTCCTACAGGAATACCTCACCGGTAACTACACTTGATGACAAATAATACCCTGCTAAAAGCTGCTCATAAGACAGCAAAAGGTGCAACATTAAAAATTCCTGAGATTGGGAGGAGTCCTGAACAGCACACTGAATTCGGCTTAAAACACATCAGTGACCGTGGCTTACATAATTCAACATCCCTGCAGGAAGAAAAGAATGCCACTACTGCTGGGTTTCATTTCAAAGAAGCAAAATGCAGGAAAATGATAATGTCTGGTAAAAAATACTGTAAAAGAAACAATGGTATCCACAAATATTTGGCACAGAAATTAACAGTATTATTATTTTGGAGTGTACCATTCATCAAAAACATTACCAGAAAGCCAGAAAGCTAACATAGCCCAACAGCAGGTCAAGGGATGCCAGGAGATGGAAAAAAGTTTCAGCTTTCTGAAAGAAAACTATAGTCAAACAAGAAGAACAGAAAAGGTCAAATCCTGACAGGTTCTTTGAGACAAATCTGCAAAAGGTACCCCAAAAAAAAAAAAAGCAGCATTTCTCTCTCAAAGATAGCAGGAGCAGGCAGCCTCCCACAGGCAATAGCAGGAAAAATTAAAACTGCCTTGATGTTCACCAGGAGGGAGCTTGAGGAGTTCATGGAGACACATGGGGAAGTCTCAACCTCATTAACATTAGCTTCTGCTTATAAATTAATAAAAGGAGCAATGAGTCACCAGGGCCAGATATATCCCAAGAACCCTGAAGGATGAAACTGCTGATCTACTAATTCACGTGTAAAGCCTTGCCTAAAGTATCAACAACAACATGCAGCGTGATGCCAATTTTTAAAAAGAGCTCAAGCCAGGCCCAGGAAACCGACAGCTGGTTAACTCTGCTGAAAAGGTTGAGCAAATCAACAGAAGCTATAATAGGTAACACTGACCTGTTACAATTGTTATGTTAGTGAAGAGAGAGCACAGTTTTTGTAAGGGAGACGATACCTTGCACATTTGTGTAAAGGTCTCAATAAGCATTGGAACAATACAGCCAGATATTCCCTTGGTGCACCTTTTGGAAATCCATGTAAATTATTCAGCAAGGTTCCTCAAGGGCTCTTCAGATAACTAAACTGCCATGAGATAAGAGGGATGGTCCTCCCATATAAAAGACAGGAATAAAAGGCAGGAATTATTGATCATTTCCAGCAGAAAAAGATCGCTGCTCAGATACCCTACTCTGGTTTCCTCCTAGACTGTTGTCCTCTTCACTCTGCCTGGTTGCTTTCAGCACGTTTCTCTTTCCAAAATATTTTGGGAGTCCTCAAGGTAAAAATGTGCACAGGAACATAAGACATGAACACTTACTAAACCAACACTGTTTCTACAATAACGCACTGCATCCCATGAACTCATGCATCACAAAATTATGACTCATACTTGTCCAACTTGCAAGATGAGGAAAAGTGAAGCACGAAAAGATGTACAGTGGAATCTTGGGGATAAGCCACTTCACTGATCCAAAGTCAAACTCCCAGCTCTAAGCCAATGAGCACCAAATGAAAGCAGTAAAGCAAAGTTCCTTGTGTAGCTGTCATCAAAAATCATCTGTGCAGCCAGTCATGGCAGGGTAGTGCAAACCAAAACTGCTGACTGCGTGCAAATTACTGCAGCAGATCATAAGGATGGTCTTGCTCAGTATATCTGCAATGCAGCAGAATGACTACATCTTTCAGGAGAAGCTGAATAGAGAGATGTTTCTCGGTACCCTAGTCTTACAATTTGCAAAGCAATTTATAGCATCTGTTCACAACCAAACATATGCTGCTTTCTTTGTAAGTCCAATTTCTAGAAATAGGCAGCTCTCTTGGGGAGAATTAGTACAGCCAGAATCATGGCCAGCCTGCTTAACAAGCAAGTCTCAGGATATTGTTTCCTGCACAGTTCCATAAATGCAATGAAAAAGTGTTCTCATTTACAGAGTAAAAGGATAGCAGTTGGCTGCTGCAGGTCTAGAAGCTGGGTCCCTTCAGGACATTCGTATTTCAGGAAGTTAACATTTGTAGAATGCGTGAGCTAACAGTTTTAGGTAAAATGCTTAGTTTGGATCCTTTTCATAAGCTAATTACTTTGATAAAAATCCACTTGGGAGGAAAAAAAAAATCATTCAAAGAGACCAGAACATTCATCCTGTCCAAGCAGACACTTTTGCTTACTTCTGACTGTAAAAGTTTTGCTGGTGTTTTTTTACACTAAAGGTGAGGTTGTGAAATCAGAGTTCAGTCAATCACTGTGAGTGGAAAGGACAGCTCCCTGCAGCGCAGGAGCTCTCCAGGGTAGCAGCGCAGCAGGCACACAGCACAAAAAGAGTTTCCAAATGCCTCCGCTCCCGTCTTCTCCACAGTTTAGATATATTCTGTTTTCCATCCTTAGCAAAATTTATCTGGGCCAGGTATCTCATGCTTAGGTGACTCAAGGCCCTATGCTTAGCATTCAAAACCTTTTGTTAAACACTGTTTCCCGTTTTCAGCCTTATGTTGCATGTGATATACTCTGTTGGAACCAATTATTTCTATCTGTAATCCATATACTGAAGTGCTTTAAAGAGCCACCTTAACTATTGCAGCAAAGCAACGAAATTATCTGGTTTTTTGTTTGTTTGTTTGTTTGTTTTACAATACAATGTGCTTCTGTGTCGGCTGGGCTGAAAAATTAATGTGTTCTCTACCTTTCTAACAAAAATAAAACCCAGAATCAGCTTCTATTAGTCACCACAGAAAGTGGCGATTAAAGTATCCAAATTGCGCCCACTTTCTGGTTTTCTTCCCCTATTGGTCTTGTGCTGGAAAACCTATACAACACGAGAGAGTTTTCACTGACTCTACATAGTATTCAAATATGACAGGGGAGTGAGAAGATGGACCTAGTAACATAGCTAAATCATAAAAATCTATTTGAAAATAACTATTCTAACTAGGTAATAGGAACAAAAAGAAGGGGGGGAGGGGCTGAAGTCCTTCATTAAAATAGTTATTATAATTAGTTAACCAGCTTCAGTTCCCAAACTAGAAACGCTTCAGAAAAAAACCCATCATTTTAGAGTATCTCCGGTACCGAGAGAGAAGTACCTCCAAAGTTTCCATCTCTAAATATATAGAACTACAAGAATTTTGTTAATTAACCTACTGTATTCACCTTCCCAAATCAGAAATTCCATCTCATTTCCATTCAAATTTTGAAAATAATTATTTTTTGGTTAAAAGCTGAAAGAGCAACAGTATACACTTACTGCCCAGACTGGAAGTCCTTCTCATTCACCACAGCACAGTTGGTTAATGATAGTTCATCTGTGGGACATCTCGCTGCTTGCATAGACTAGGAGAGAGAAAGATAAAAGGGGAAGAATTATCAAATAAAACTCTATTTTCCTTTAGTCTCCAAGTCTCAGAACTTCTTTAGATCCATAACACACAAATAGGTTTCATGGGTACTGATATACTCTCAGAGCATAGTTTAGCATCATTGACAAGCTCTTACGTCCCTTCCCTGTTTCCCCAGATACTTCTAATTGTCATAGAAGTTTGTATCCAAAATCTCTGCATTTTATAAGTCTAGATTGGGAAAAATGCCTAAAAATTACCTGCAGAAAAAAACTGCAATGCAAGTATTGTTAACTTGCTGATGGACCCTGATGCTCCCTGCATCCTGCAACATGCCAGGACGTTCAAATAAGTCATTCACTGGAGGTCATTTCTTGCCAAGAACAGTTGGGACTTTTTGAAAGCTGTTAAAACAAGTGGCCTAGTGACAGACCAGTTGCACTACAGCCTGGGTAACTCCACCTCGCATTGCTGTGCTGAATTAGAGAGAGAGCACATGGGGAAAAGAGGGTAGAATAAAGATGCTAGCCTTTCTTCCTTCTTCCCTCATTTCCCCCAGATAATAACATTAATAGCAGACCTCAACAGAATATTTCTGTGCCAGTATGAAGTTGTTACTCAAAAAAATGAAATTTGAGCATATTCGCTCAAGAGATATGTACTTAGAACAATGCAGTACACGGCCTCACCGAAAGGCTCTAGGAAGGTACAACTCTCAGCCAACTGCTACCCAAGTCCACAGAATCTCTCCAGAAACTTTTCCAAAGAAATATCAAGCGGTGCATAATCTTTTGAATGCTATAGGAAACTAGATCATTATGGATCAGCAAACAGACAAAAACATTAAGTTAAAGAGTCGATTTCAGCCTATCACTCAAAAAATTATTACAACAAAGTATTCTTTAAAAAGAAAAAAAAAAATCAATGTTTCTGTTTCATTGCAGTATTTCAAATTTGACAGAAAAGCAACTTTGGAGTCAGAGGAGCAGTCCCATTTCACATCCTGCTAAATGCATTAGATAAGATATTTCTGGGAAAAATTCTGTACACAGGATCCATGGATTAAAGGTTTATACAGCACCAGTCCTCAAATGCATTTTTAATCCTCGCTGACAAACTGCTTTCTAAATGTAGCAGCAAGCACCTGGCAAAGTTGCCATTCTACGTTATTGCTGTCTGCATTCGGGAGCGTCCAAGCTTTGCTTTAAGGAAATGCACAAATATAAAGGAATGCACTTCAGATTCAGCACAAAGTGTTCCTGCTGCAAGCTCTACAATGTGATAACTGCGTCCTTGGTTATTTGACACATGAAATAATGTAGTTGTTTCTGCAGCAGTATCTGTACTGATTGTGCTAGTCATCCCATAGCCCATCCCATATAGTCCATTCTCCTTCCGTGGCCTTTGGCAGCAGCCCATTTTTCTCTTAACAACACCCAACATTTCAGACTGTATCTATAACCTACATTATGCTCCCAGCTCTCTAATATATGCCTTCCCCAAGCTTTAAGGCCATTTTTAAAGCCTCAATACATTATTAGTATACAGAAGCATTTTTAAAAGAATACAGCTCGCGCAAAAGAAGGATGTCATTCAACGGCAAGCAGGTTTTCATGACTGTACAGGGACAATTTGGGAAAACATGGTCATGTAAAAGATGATACGCAAGCTAGAAAGCTGGGCCTGTTGAGCCTGCAGAAGAGAAGACTGAGAGGGGATCTCATCAACGTCTACAAGTATCTGAAGGGAGGGTGTCGAGAGGATGGGGCCAGACTCTTCTCCGTGGCGCCCAGTGACAGGACGAGAGGCAACGGGCAGAAACTGAAACCCCAGGAAGTTCCATCTGAACCTGAGGAAAAACTTCTTGACTGTGAGGGTGACAGAGCACTGGAGCAGGTTGCCCAGAGAGGTAGTGGAGTCTCCTTCGCTGGAGATATTCAAAACCCGCCTGGATGTGATCCTGGGCAACGTGCTGTAGAGGGCCCTGCTTGAGCAGGGGGGTTGAATTAGATGATCTCCAGACGTCTCTTCCAACCTCAACCATTCTGCGATTCTGTGATTCTATCAAGCCACTAGAGCAGATCTTGCAGCTGACAGTAAATGCCATCTGCTTCAGTCACACTGCTGCCAGCACTAGTTTAAAGGTGGCCCATGTACATCATCAGAGGTTGCAGTTCCCCCTATGCCCACAATGTAGACCTATGAGACTAAGAGACCAAAAGAAGTCTTCATTGCCTCCAGTTGTTCTACTGGCATTGTGCAAGGAGGGGATGCCAGGGACAGCAAACTTGAAGGGAGGTGACTCCACATCTAAGACACTACCTCGTTTCTAAAGCATCCTCAGCTAAAGGCATCCATCATCCATCTACTGTCATGCAGCAACTGTTATTAAATCCTTGCCTACACAGAAGTCTACTCCAATATTCCTTCTGTTCACCAAGAGAAAAATGAGAGCGCATGACGCATTGAGAGATCTCATGCTGAAAGACAAATGAAGGACATTACCTTTGGATTTATGACAAAGCAGTAACATGCCTCTGCTACTGAGCTGATGCTAAATATGAAAATCCAGTGCTAAGAGGCTCAATCACACTGTTATATTTTACTTCTACAAAGTATCTTTCAGTTACCCCAGAGAATAAATAGCTTCATAATGGAAATAAATAACATAACGTCCCATCTTTCAGAAACGTTCAAAGCTGCATGGATTCCAGCTTTCCTTTACAGAGAAATTAAATTGAGCTGTCTTTGCATTTTGGAAGAGCTCAGCCACTTTAACACAGAACACCATGCTAAGTTATTCAGGTATTTTCATACAGATATAAAAAACATATTTTTGCCTCTTGAATTTCAAGATAAGCATCAGCAAAGCACTGCTGCTTTAAACATGACTGAGGAGAGAATGAACAATAAAATTTCTGGAATATTCCACTTAATAGTGGTATGTGTGAGCATATAATACAAAAAAAAAACGGTTAATATTTGTGAATTGTTAAGACTGAGAGAAGAAGCTAAAGGAAAACATGTTTCCCATTACTCAGACAGGAGATATGTTGGTGGTACATAATAGAAGTGCACTACTACCTGTCAGTTGCTACCGAATAAAAGAGCTAAAACATTAAGTGCTTAGGCAAAGATGCTCTTCATTTGACACAAGAACGCTTAACTCATTTAATTTCTTAATCCTACCCAAGAGACTATGAAACAGCTTTTAAAGCTGAGGCAGGTTGTGTTCTCTGCACTATTTCTTGTATAAGACAAATACTGTTAAAGCATTATACAGTTAAAACTTTCTCTTATGGAATATACATGCACATAGATATGAATATATGTTCCTATAGATATATGTCTATATGTATATACAGATATATAATTTCTGCTGTGCAGTTGTTGGCAAACAACTGTTTGGAAACATGACACACAACTCCAGGTATTAGAAATTGAAATTTCCTCTGTAAACCCCACTGTCAGCTGTACAGGAGTGGGGATCACCATCTCAAAAGGCATCTAAGCTCTACTATAGCAGCTGTTAGGCACCAAAATACCTTCGAGTCTCTAGTCCAGAGAAGAGGGCAACAAAGAATCTGTAGAGGAGCTATTATAGGGAAGAAAGGTTAGTCTTTATTCACTAGAGATGTTCACCTGCCTTGTGTTTCCTTTGGTAGCATGACTGACTCAGGCAAAGATGTTACAAGTCAGACACTCACTCATTCACCACTAGAAGTCTGCAAATAAAAGTATGTTGTCAAATTTTAAAAAGAATTATGCCACTAGAGGAGACCTGAAGAATAACAGAGAACTGAGATAATGCTATGTAGACCCTGCAGTGTCATCCAAGAACACGCTCCTGACGGAAAACAGACATGCCTGAAGCTTTGCCTGATACAGCTTGAACTAAAAGACTCAATGGATCAAGCACAACAGAATCTGAAAAAAGAACAAAGAGATGAACATTAAAACTGCAGACATCCGGAGCCTGCTGCACACAGACCTAGAAACACTAGTACCCCGAAAGATGAGTTCAAGAAGAGCTGGGTCAGCAATAGCCTGGGAGGAGATAAACTGGCACAGAAATGCCTGAAGAGGATTATGACTACATTCTCTTTACATACACACACATACCATAAAGCTAAATAGTGGAGAGGAAAAACAATGCTAAGCTAAAGGACAGAAAAAATTGTCATAAAATAATAGCAACACTATCACAGCTAAGTTCTGACTAGCACTTAAGAAAGAGTTCCTAACCAATACAGGAAGCCAGCACTGTAATAGCCTCTCATGAGCAACAATATGGACCAAACCAAAATTCCTTTAAAGATGGTGTTCAGTAAGATTATGAAAGAGATGGTACATGGTGGCTATAACAGGGACTAGACTCAGCAACAGCAGATGCCCTAAATTCTTTGTTTCTAAAATTAAAAAAAAAGAAAAGTCCTAAAGAAGTTACTCGCTTGGAGAAGGTTTTTCTGGACACATGAAAAAATATTCTAATAAAACTTCAAGAGTTCTGCAGCGTTGTTTACACAGGAAGAGATCAAGCACCTAAAAGTAACTTTTTAGAAACAGTAGGCTTGGCAAAACAGGTTTCCTTTTCAAATCTATAACCATTCAGAGCCTTGCTGGGCCCAACAGATTAAGCAAACTGTCCCCCAGGACAAGCAGCCTTGAGTGCCTGCTCAGGACTGCCCTTTCCATCTGCTCCATTTGACCTTCTAGATTACTTTGCTAGAAGATTTTATTCTGATTTGGAAGTAGTTGCGCACTGTATATGTAACAAGAGCGTAAACATCAGTTTTCTTCTCTTATTAAAAGGGGAATGTTTGCATTAGGAAAGTTAAAATCTCAGGATGCATATTCAAAATTCTTCTTAAGCCAAGGTACTTTTAGCAAGCCAACACTGAGACAGCCTCAATACAGAGTCCAGATATGAATGGTGGATGAGATGCACACCTCCTTCCCACTCCCCCTGAGCCTGAAGCTTCTACTGGTATGAAT